GTTTGTCATATATGACAGTATTATGACAAATACATTATAATATATTATCATATATGATGCACATGTTTGTCATATATACTGTCATATATGACAAACACATTATCATATACGATCATATATGATACATATGGTATCTTATATATGGACATTTTTCGTATATGAGCATATATGATTATACATATATGATCATATGTGAAAATTTTTTCCCGGGCATATATCTATGTATATGAAAAACTTTTGACTGTCATAGATTGTTGCTATATATGTATATCGTATTTGTTGTTGTAGATCAGTTAACTATATTTACAATTGTATTAAACTTGTGAATTAAAAATAATAAGCGGCAATAAGCTGCACATCCAAATACAACAGTGACAGTATGTATTCAATTGGAAATGAATGAATTAAACGCAACAGAGAGATAAAAATGGAAGAAAATCGATCAAAGACTTTCTGCTTATTTCTTCTTGCAAATGACTGCCTTGCTGCACGGCAATAGCGTACGGTTGCTCGGCAAATACGTCGCCCACTTCCGTTAAATTGCAATTCTTCGTTACTTTGTATTTTATCTCTGACGAATCATGAATGAATGCAAACTCAGCATTTTCGCTTTCTATCACCTGAAAAGTATCGGATGCATTCCAACTAAATATTTAGTAACAAAAGATGATGGTGTCGACGATAACTGGCCCATATATTTATTTAAAATACTACGTTTCGACTAGTAATACTAGTCCTTTTCAAGTAATAGCCCATTAAATGTGGCAGCAAGAAATCTATAAATTATAAATTAAGTGTTCGGAAATGTATATAAGATATTATCGCACAGAGAAAACAACTTAATACTTACGGGTGACATATTGAGTGTACTCTTTATAAAGAAAGAGGCGCAGTAAATTAATATAAATTAATATAAATATTTAGTGTCGCGCCCCACAATTTCTCACGATTCTTCGTCTTCTTTTTCATCCTTGTACCTTCTTCAAACCATCCTCGGTGTTTTTGACTGGTCCAACCTGAGTAATGGCTTGCAGAATGTGACCGTGTTGTTCCTTTATCGGATAATCCCAGACGCGGTACTCTACTTGATCGCTGGTACTGTTTAGGGTGATTTCTTTCTATACTCTACAAGCAAATAGCATGCATAATGTAGTTTATCCTAACAACGTGTTTCATAAGAAGATAACGTTTGTTTTACACACGTATAAAGTTTATCCTCGGCGTTTTTCATGTTTATGAAATATTGATGAGAACTAGAGTTGGCCAGAACAGTATAGTTTATGCGCGATTGTCTAGCCAGTTGCTCCAACGATTGCACAGGTGACTATTTAGTGAAATATACGCAAATATTAGTGCGGGAGAAATAAAGTGCCTTATAAAAGATCAATATCTTGACCAATAATTCTGTCCAGACAAGAGAAAAAATCTCCGACAAATATACATGATATATTAATAAGAGTATATACACCTGCATTCTTTCCACGGTAAGAAAAGCAGCTAAGTTGGCAGTAAAAGTGGCGAGCATTAGTATAACGAATAGCCAATAAGCTGCAACCAGTGTCCTGCTTGATAACGCTTTTGGAGCTTCACCGCCTCCCTGCGGTGTAAAAGACGTCAATGCGAACCAAAAGCTCTCCTTTAACGTGAATTCTCTGAAAAGTAGTAATCTGCCTGTTAGACACAACAAGAAGGGAAAGAAGAAAGATAAAATCTTCAAACATATTAAAAGTCACACTGCTGACATATCAAACGCGATAAAGTACATTTAACATACCAAGTGGCTATTAGTCTGTAATATACTGTCTGATGAAACGTAAAAATTAAAATATACGTACCGACAAGGATAGGGATAAAGTCGTTTCATGCTCGTAAAGAACGAAAGGAATCGTTGAATCGTGTGTTACGAATCCTTTTGCAAGCTTCACTCTCTTAATGAGAATCAACCTACACGTATAAAACGTCCTTAATATTCTATAAACAAATTCGACAAACGTAACGTCAGAACGATTACCGTCGCGCTGATTCCGCACACATCACCATCGTCTCAGACAGCGACTCGCACGCCGTCGCGAAGTGACGCACACACACGTACACACATGTACACACATACACACACACGCGCATACATATGCATGCACACATCAGTCTCTATCGTATCAAAACTTCCGAGTCATATTGTTAAAACCGTCGACACGTCGACAATCATGACGGATCGGACTTACTGAGGAAGCTAACAAGCATTCGCTCATGCCGCGCGCTGAAGCCGGCGAATCTCTTAAGTATCGCGACCCTGAGAGTCGTGGTATTGGATGTTAGTTAATTCTTGTTACTACGCAGACTCGCAGGCTGACTATTGGCCTGTTGCTGTGCACGCTGTATGTAGATGTTCAGCAGCTTCAGCTTGCTGGAGTACAGGGAGTTCAGATGCGGCTTCAGCACCTCCTCGCCGCGCGCCGACAGCGACGTGGATCGCCACCATGCAGAAGACCGCGTTCTTGCGAACCGCGCTTTCGGTGAAGAGAAATAAAATTAATATATAAAAAAAATTAAGGT